TGGAATAGACTTAGAAGTATAGATCCACACGAGGTCAGGAGTTCGAGACCAGCCTGACCAACATGGTGAAACCCTGCCTCTACTAAAAATACAAAAATTAGCTGGGTGTGGTGGCACATGCCTGTAATCCCAGCTACTCGGGAAGCTGAGGCAGGAGAATCGGCGATGGCTCACGCCTGTAATCCCAGCACTTTGGGAGGCTGAGGTGGGCAGATCACTTGAGGCCAGGAGTTTGAGATCAGCCTGGGCAACTGGGCAACATAGTGAGACTCCATCTTTTTTTAAAAAAAAAAAAAAAAGAAAAGAAATGGCAGTGGCGACTGGATGTCACTTTCATGAATCATCTGCATAAGGTTCTGACTTCCATCTGGCCAGCAGATTCTCTCTATAGACTCTCTCTCTCACTGGCTTTGACGAATAAGCTGCCATGCGTGAGCTGCCCTATGGAGAACCTAACATGGCAAAGAACTGAGGCCCTTGGTCCACCAAAGATTTTATTTCAATTCACACGTCACAACACTTTAAACAAAAGATCCCACCAGTGGTGCACAGATTTTAAGATGGCCCCCATGGATCCCACCTCCTGGGGTTCACGCCTGTGTGATCTGCTCCTGTTACGTGTGGGCAGGACCTGTCATTTGGTTCTAACCAACAGAAATGACAATGGTAGCTGGGCGCAGTGGCTCACACCTATAATCCCAGCACTTTCAGAGGCCGAGGCGGGTGGATCACCTGAGGCCAGGAGTTCGAGACCAGCTTGACTAACATAGTGAAACCCCGTCTCTACTAAAAATACAAAAATTAGTTAGACATGGTAGTGCATGCCTGTAGTCCCAGCTAGTTGGGAGGCTGAGGCAGGAGAATCGCTTGAACCCAGGAGGCAGAGGTTGCAGTGAGCTGAGATTGTGCCACCGCACTCCAGCCTGGACAACAGAGTGAGACTCCATCTTTTTTTAAAAAAAAAAAAAAAAGAAAAGAAATGGCAGTGGCGACTGGATGTCACTTTCATGAATCATCTGCATAAGGTTCTGACTTCCATCTGGCCAGCAGATTCTCTCTATAGACTCTCTCTCTCACTGGCTTTGACGAATAAGCTGCCATGCATGAGCTGCCCTATGGAGAACCTAACATGGCAAAGAACTGAGGCCCTTGGTCCAACAGCCAGTGAGGAACTCAATCCTGCCAACAACTACAGGAGCCCGGAAATGGATCCTTCCCTAGTCAAGTTTCAGATGAGACCCCAGCCCTGGCTGACACCTGGGTGGCAGCTTCAGGAAAGACCCTGAATGAAGCACAGGACTGAGCTAAGCTGTGACTGGATTTCTGGCCCACAGAAGCTGTGTGATAATAAATGTTGTTTTAAGCAGCTCAGTTTGTGGTCATTTTTTACATGGCCATAGATAACTAATATACCAGCCAAGCCCCAAATAAAGCCAAGTCTGGAAAGCAAATTTATTTGTTTCCCTATTCAAAATTATAACTTGGCAGGGCGTGGTGGCTCACACCTGTAATCCCAGCACTTTGGGACCTAGAGGCAGGCGGATCACGAGGTCAGGAGTTCGAGACCAGCCTGGCCAACACGGTGAAACCCCATCTCTATTAAAAATACAAAAATCAGCTGGGCGTGGTGGCGCACACCTGTAATTCCAGCTATTTGGGAGGCTAAAGCAGGAGAATTGCTTGAACCCGGGAGGTGGAGGTTGCAATGAACCGACATCAAGCCACTGCATTCCAGCCTGGGTAACAGAGCAAGACTCCATCTCAAAAATAAAAATATTTAAAAATTACAAAAATAACTTTTCGGCTGGGTGCTGTGGCTCATGCCTGTAATCCCAGCACCTTGGGAGGCTGAAGCAGGTAGGTTCACTTGAGGTCAGGAGTCTGAGGCCAGCCTGGCCAACATGGTGAAACCCCGTCTCTATTAAAAATATAAAAATTAGCCAGGTGTGGTGGTGGGTGCCTGTAGTCCCAGCTACTTGGAAGGCTGAGTGGGGAGAATCGCTTGAACCCGGGAGGCTGAGGTTGCAGTGAGCTGAGATTGTGCCACTGCACTCCAGCCTGGGCAACAGAGCAAGACTCTGTCTCAAAAAAAAATAAAAATAAAAATAATAATGACAACTTTTCACATTGAGAACGAGATAGTTTAAGAAGATGGTAATTTAATGAGACATGATTTCCGCTCCCTGGGTCTCTCCTCTATACCTGATTCCTGAGTTCCAAAGCATTAAGAAATCAGCAGCCTGGACTTTTCTTCCTTCTTACTTAACAGACCGTAAATTCCCCACATTTCAAAACTTACTTGCCTTGAGTTCAGTCTCATCCAACTACCAACGGAACAACTTTAAGAGCCTTAGGAAAAAAGGAAAGACTGGTATTTCCAAACAAACTCCCTACCTTCCCTAGCTCCCGAGTTCCATGAAATCTCTTTTGCTCCGTATTCACTTCCTCAGACACGAGTCAGTTTTTAGACGCCTGCAAATAATTCTTTTCTGCATTAAAAGCATCAGTTGTTACAGCTTCAAAAAACTGCAAATCATTCTTACTTACATCTGGAAGTCTGTATAGTTTCATTGTTCTCTGTAAAGTCATATTTCTACTCAAGTGAGAAAATTTCACTTCTACCAGTTTTCTGGGGTTTAGTGATCGATGCCAGTATCTGGAATACAATAAAGGTTTTAAAATCTAATTGATTTCTAACTCTACAAGTTTCACTCTTTGTCTCAGCTTGGCTGTTACATAAGCATTTACTACTTACTTTTTTTTTCAGAGGCCCTCATCCTATATCATCATTTTATCAGTCAATTTTTAATCTCTAGAATGTATCTTGTACTCCTAGTTATGTTCTTCTGGAGTTTGTGACCTTTCATCTTTTTCACTAAAGAGAAATCTTAAAACTGCAAAAGAAATATTAATTGGGCGCGATGGCTCACGCCTGTAATCCCAGCACTTTGGGAGGCTGAGGTGGGCAGATCACTTGAGGCCAGGAGTTCGAGACCAGCCTAGCCAACATGGTGAAACCCCATCTCTACTAAACATACAAAAATTAGCCGGGCGTGATAGTGTGCGCCTGTAATCCCAGCTACTCGGGAGGCTGAGGCAGGAGAATTGCTTGAACCCGGGAGGCGGAGGTTGCAGCAGTGAGCCGAGATCGCGCCACTGCACTCCAGCATGGGCAACAGAGCAAGAGTATCTCAGACACACACAAAAAAGAAATATTAATCATAGCCAGGTTTCCAAGTGTTTAAGGACCATCACTGATTCTACAAAAGGCCAATCAGAAAGTTTAAAAACATGAAAATAAATCCCCTAAATTAGTAGCCTTCACTTTTACAGACTACACACCAAAGAAAACAACTTTTTGAGAAACTAGCTTAAATTTCTTAAGTGATTCCAGGCTCTGGGATAAATGATTTGTATTAAAATATACCCGTGAAGTCTAGTATTCCACTTACTTAACGAATGTAATAATTTAATAGGATATAGTAATTTCAAGTTTCATCCTATTTAAGTCAATAAAAACAGTGGTGAGGGTGGGGAGATAAACTCCAATGTTTTAGAAACAGGTTAGTCTTGTGGCAATCTGATAATTTTCTCACTGGAATAACCTTTGAAAGCTTGAATAGTGCAGACGAAGTTGTAAAAACAGAGCTTAGGTCTCCCTACATCTGAGCCTTTTGAATGGATGCTTAACAGACTTTCAGGACACTTTGGCGGTGCTGCAAAGCACGGCAGAAAACTAAGCTTTGGGGTGGAAAGAAAATGGTATGACATTGGAATTTCAAGATCATCATGTCCTAGGTTTTCCCATGAAGAGACAGCACCCATCTTTCACATGGAATAGACTTAGAAGTATAGATCCACACGAGGTCAGGAGTTCGAGACCAGCCTGACCAACATGGTGAAACCCTGCCTCTACTAAAAATACAAACATTAGCTGGGTGTGGTGGCACATGCCTGTAATCCCAGCACCTTGGGAGGCTGAAGCAGG